GACATGGGGCTCGATCCCAGGACCCCGGGATCATGACCCGAGCCAAAGGCAGACGCGTCACGACTGAGCCACCCAGGCGCCCCAAAACGTTAGTTCTTTGTGCAATCCAAATTAGTCGCGGTGCAAAGGCCTTTACGGCAGCTTTCCCTGTCTCCTGAAGCTCAGAGTCCTCGAGCCCGTCGAGGAGCGCAGACGGGCAGCTCCCAAGGAAAGTCCCGCGGGCCCGTCCCCCGCACGGGAGCGGAGAAATCCTTGCCCACGAACAGCACGCAGCGGCAGCGCTCTCCGCGGCAGGGCCCAGCCAGACCAGAGCTGCGGTCCCCGCCTGCAGCACGATGGTCAGCTCACGGGTCATGACTTAGCTGGCTTCTCCGAAACCCTGCACGCTCCTCAGGCCTCCTGCCCCGAGGGGAGCAGGTGCTCTGGGATGTCTACCTGGAAGACATCTTTTCCGCCTTTCCTGGGGATGGGCTCCAGCAACCACCTGGGGTTCGAAGCGCCGTGAGGTACTTCTGCTTCAGGCTGGTCAGCACAGCTCGATTTTCCAGTTCCACGACCTCATCGGGAGCCAAGTCTTCTGGGCACGGCAACGTTTCCCCAACGTCCCACAAGCCCTGTGCACAAAGAGAAGCACGCACTGGATTTTCCTTCCAGAAACCGAGGCCCGCCTGTTGGAGAACACGGTTATTGAAAGCTACAACCACCAGAGACCACGAGGGTCTCCCCAAGGGGCCACGGAGGACACCGGGCCGCTCTGGCCGAGCATCTGCGACGTGCCAAACTCTGTTCAGGGAATTCTGGGTGAGGCCGAGGGACGGAGAGAAGGAAGTGGAGGGCCTTGTCCTCAACGACCACACCCAAACAATGGGCTGGTCCCAGCCAGACTGCTCAGGGCAGCAGGCGGAGGACAGAAGGGCTCCACACGCCAGGGGGAAGAGGCCATCAGGTCCCCGAGCACTTTGGCAGGTGGCAGGTGCAGCGATGGGACCCGACCCACCCAGGGCGCAGGGAACTTACCTGGGATGCGGGGACGGTGGGGGTGGGGCATCGC